CGATAAATAAATCACAGCAATTTAGATATTGTATATATGCCGCATTTTAGAAAAGGGAAATTTATAAAAACCCAACCTGAAGTTCCCCATCAAAGAATGGAGTCTGAATATCTACATTATCATCCGTGTTCTCTTCCTCTTCCTCACTGGAAGTTGTCGGTATAGCTAGATCGAAGCCAGTTTCATCTGAACATTATTAGTTCATCAAAAAGTTGAAAATGTAAGCCTCTGATGAGCTTAAAAATAAAAACCAACCAATAGGGGGATCGCTGACAATCTCTGACGTAGTGGCATTGAGGGTTCTCACAAATATGATGCCTTTTTCACCATGTAATTCACCTTCGCTGGAGTCGACGGAGGCATGAATCTATAATATCAATCTGATTATTAAAGGGCCAAAGGTAGTACGATAAAAACTTTAACAAGCGGAAAATACTTTTCCTAAGGTGGCACAGTATTTTTCAGAGCCATGTTAAGGATAAGCACCACTTTACTACATGCGCATAGTCGCACAGCGCTTTTTATTTAATTAATATATAATTCGTAGAGATGTCTCACCTCAACAATATAAACCGAGTTTGGGAATAATCCAGAAAGTTCCGATTGGGTGGTATGGCTTGGCACAATAACAGAATGCCTATCCCTAGAAACGAAATTTTGAAACGTAATCATAAAATATCATAAAATGTAGAATTAAGTCAATGTTAAGAAACCTACCGTCCATCGATACCCCAAGCTTCCTCATCCTCGTCAAGACTTCGTTTTTCATGTGTAGTTAGCGTGGCACGACGTCGCATCATCTCCTCAAACGCGTTTGCTTCGGATGGAGACGACACAGCCCAGGACAACTAAAGCGATTTAAAAATGCAAGCATGCTCTAATGCAAAAATATAACTTAAGGCCAGTTTAGAGGCTTTCTCCGAGGAGAGCATCGAACCGAAAGCCAAGTTTCGATATAGACTTAATTACCTGATAATTTTTAATTGGTAAGTCGCTTGCGGGTGGTGTCCACTGCACAATCTGATTCCATAAACCTATTGGTGTGAGCTTGGATGCCCCCAACGAGATATCACGAGGTGGCGATGGTGCACGAGCTTCTGGAAAATATGGTAGTAAAATCGTATCAAATGTTACCAGCTTAAATTTTGAGAACGAGAACTGGTCCCAAGTATAACACTTGGTCCCAAACCGGATATTTTTGACTGACTGCGCTGGAAGAAGCGCAAGCCGTCCAAAGTTTATTTATACGCAATGATGAGTTGAGAAAC